CAAAATTCAAACCTAAATTGATACCAAATTAGAAGGAAGGCATCAGAGTTCCAATAAATTATTTCCAATCAGCTGTTCAAAAGTCGAGGCACGATTGGATAACGGACATGACCTTTAGCAAATTATATTTGAAAGAATTGTATTTCCATCAATCAAATCTAAGATCGTTAAAATTGATAGCCTAAAACAAACCATATCCTGAACGTAGTTTTGAATACATCTTGTACATTGTTTTTAGGGTTAGTGGTCGAGAAGACAAGAAGTTACAATGCATTCTTTTACATGTCTGGGACACCATACATAGCTGCTTTTATAGAGCTCTTCCTCCTTCGATGTGTTGTACCACTGTCACAAGTTGAGACGAGCAGCGACAAGAGAGAGAATGGAAACGAAGAGCAATTATCATAAGGGCTTGATCAAATCAGAAGTCAATTCTTCGTTAGATATTAATGGATAGATAAGTGCATACCTAATTTTACGGTGTAGTGATAACAAATTCATGCAGTGATAAACAGAGAAAGCATGTAATGACAACGCTTTGGAGAAATTTTATTTACAATGGGAAAATTTTACGTACTTTTCACAAACTTCAAAACTTTTGGACTAAGAAAAAGAAAATTGAAAGCCTGGACATACCCAGAGCCATTCAATCTACTTGCTAATTATAAACTTAATTTCGAGCGCGTAGCGATACCCCAACTTTCAGTTGGATTCTTCCAAACAAGAGTTTATATGATTAATCTAATGTTTATTTATTAAGTGAAAGAAGTTGCAAATATGTTGATGTTTTGAATGACTTGTGAAAAGTGTTATCACGGATGCGATGTGAATAAAACCTACTTATGAGTACTTAATTTAGTAACTTTGTGGCAAAATAGCGTTGTTTGTATTTAAAGCTATTAAGGGCGTGGTCAGAAGACAATTTTTAGGGGCCACTACTGTTACCTTAAAATTTATTTTGTTTTATTACGACCATAAAAGAATGAGATGAGCCAGTAAGGAGTCATTCACAAAGGACGTCTTGGAAAAAGATGAATTTTTAACTCCCTACCCTCTTTTGTCCGGCATTGTCCGTATTGAGAGCCCCCTCCCCCTTCCTCGGACATCCACCGATATCATACTGAAAGCTATTCAAACATGTATATGTAAATGGAATGTAAAAAGCCGTTCTTTGTTCCAACCAGAAACTGACTTGATGAACAATTTTTGATTTTCTAGTACGTTTTTTGTATGATGTTATATTGAAAAAAGCATTAGATATAAGCAGCAAAAGTCGTGTTTCACTCTTCGTTTAAGTAGTCAGTTTCTGTGAATGGCTGCTTCAAAAAGGTGGCACTATCCATAAGAGGAGGTAACTGCTACTTCATCTTCCTCGTTTGCTGCTTCACTCTGTGACGCTCTTCATTCTTCAGTGCCAACCTTTTGTGGCCAGTTATCTCGGGGTGCAATTTTGCCAGCTCTACAGAGGTGAAATTTACCGGCATTTCACAAAACCCCCTTTATCTGCTGCCACCTTTCTCTGAATGCTTTTTTGCACAGATGGACAGAACAAATCATACAGCAAGTCAACTTGCTCCTAGCCTTCTGGTTTCAGATGTGATATTGCCATTTGTTTGCAGAAGACCCGTGTTAATTTTTTTTCCTTTGACAGGTTGTTCCCTATACTAGCCAACTGCAGCCCACCTTGAAACCTGGACGTCCGGATTGCGTAAACACCCTCTCCCCCTGTGTCCGAATTTATCCGGATTCACCAAACCCCCCTTCTCCCCCTTCAGCTTGGACGTCCTTTGTGAATGGCCCCTAATTACTCTTGATTTAAAATCCATTTTAAAATTTTATTTAAAATCCAATAATACCTTTATCTTGTTACGTTTTGTATTTTGATGGCTTGTGAAGCTGTCCTTTACCTTGGTACAAAATTCTCTCTTTATTCATATCCATATCCAGGGTAAAGTGTCCTTAATGTATTAATACATTTCCTTGTAATTTGTTTACATTATATATATATTTGGTAAAACCGTAACTAGCATTTCTCTAGCAAAGCATTGAGTAATTTTTATTGTAATTTTGAATCATTGGTTTTGTTTATGTGTTAAGAGATTTTCATGATTCATATTTTTGATTGGTTTTTTCCCTGAATTCCTTCTCTTGTCGAAAAATTAATTTTCAGCCCCCTAAAGTTTGTCTTCAACTGTCCATGGGTCTTTGAATTACTTTAAACCTAGTTCTTTGAATGAACCTTTTTGTGAAGCTAAATTTGTTACATCTGAAATCATTTGAAAACCGAATCTTCGAATAAAAGAGCCCCAGGAGGGTTCATTTATAGTTTATCCATTGTAATCAAAGGAATTATCCCGGATTTAAGGAGAAAAAATGTAAGTAGACACCAGTTTCATTCAGAGACAGCCTTCTGTTTAAAAACAATAATGGTTTGCTTTAGTAATTCTTTGAAAGCCGGTTTGTAACATGTACTTGCGATGATAAATTAACTGAAATTCAATATGGGAAAATTGTACTCTTAACCCGTTTACACTGTTCCTGGCAGATTTAGAACTGTGACAAAACAGTCGCGGTTCGCCCTTCCGTTTACAATCGCACGCTGGAACCGAGACGATTTTGATCTGCTATCCGGAATAGTTTTGACCATGCACCGCACGAATTTTCTACCGTCACCATTCCGTTTTAGAACGGGATAGTGTAAGCGGGGCCTCTGTCACCTTTCAACGTCTCTGAGATCACCAAAAGTTATTTAAAAAGGAACAAATGGTTTGGTATGATATCAAAATTTTTATGCAAAATACTTATCTCTCGGGCTGAAAATAAGCAAAACAGATCGGAAAGCCGTGGTCCACCTTAAAGCATTAATTGGAAGGAAATTGGCTGTGGTAAGTCAGCTATGAGACAAGCAGTATTATAGTAGCATTTGCTCCATACCAAAGGACTGATTTAAGAAACAATGATTGGGAGGAGAGGGGTTTTAAACACTAATTGGATTTTGGTGCCACACCCATCAGGTCACGGGAAAATGATGGAAACGCCCATTTTCAGAATTCGGAAAAAGATAAGAAAACAAGTAAAGTAAAATCTTGGAGTTATCATTTTTTGAAATTGACGACCAAAAAATAATTTATACCGAATGGAAGCAAAATTTATCAAAACACACAGCAGTATTTGGAGTGGGTGTCTCACCCCTACATCCCCCCCCCACCGCTAAATCCGTCCTTTGCTGTACCTTTCCATGTTGCAAACGCCCCAGCTTTCTTTTTAATCCCAACGTTTTTCCAAATACGTTTTTGTCCACTTTAATGCTTCTCAAGGACTCACTTACTGCTATAACACCCTTCAGTATTTCAAACGCTTCCAAAACCCTGTCGTTTCCGTTCAATACCCATAATAAGCTCTAGCTTCCATTTCAATTCCAGATTTTACATTTCAAAGCCTATTACTTAGCTTAAGCCCCGTATGCCCTGAAAATTGTTTAGGTACTGTTAATTTACTTGTGTCCCAGGGCCGTAAATCCAAGGGGGACGGGGGGCTAGACCCCCAAATATCTGGAGCAAAAGGATTTTTTTAGAAATTATCGTCATTTTCATTTAAAGAAAGGAATCCCTGGTAGCTGATACCTCAGCCACTATGCCATGATGTCAAGCGCAAGTTGGCTATTGTAGATGGCTGCTTTTTATGTTTGCAGAGTGGTGTCGACTCTGTGACGATACTCATGGAGGGGATTAGCCCCAAATATCTTATCCACCGGTCACCCCTTGAATAAATCTAAAAAACATGTAAGAAAATAATCGTTTAATTCGCCATAAATCTCGACAAATCTACATTACATATATTATCATTACACGCCTTTTTATAAGAATCCTAACTCAAACCTAGGTCCAAGAGTTCCTTATTCTGAACCTTTATTAGTCGAATTGCGGTACCAAGATCTCTATAATAGCTCCATAATTTTATCTATACATTTAGTGACATGATAATAACATAGAGAAAAAAAAGGAAATTCTGAGTTTTGCTTTGAACTGTACCTAGGAACACAAACTAGGCCAAAAGACAAAGAGGGCAAGAAGTAGAATTAATTTGCGTAAAAGTACCACGTCAACAAAGAAGTACTTTTGCATTAATATAGAGAGAAGCAATGACTACACTCTTTGTTATACCCATCCTCGATTTTTTTTTAGAAAATTTTCGTTTTGCGCCCGAATATGTTCTTAGATACATTCGAATCCGATATGGCTTCAGAATAAAATCGCTTGCTCTCGAATAGAAAACACCTTTTCTTTCTTTCCCCAACGTCTGTCACTAGAGTTTAATCATGACTCGTTGCGAACGGGAAATGAGTAGAAACGACTAGGAAACAAGTAGAAACAAGTAGAAACGACTTGGAAAAATTTTAACTGCAGCACAATTTTATTTATTTAGTAGATATCCTGCATTAATAGCTTTGATAGTAGATGTTGATATGGTATTTTTGTGAGAGGAATTAAACTATGAAAGCCTGATATGAAGTGCCAGCATTGTAAGAGCAAATTTCACTGGCATTGGGATTAACATGGAACAACAACCGGGAAAGTCGAAATAAAGTAATTTAAATTCTCGGCTAATAATCAAGCCTTTTTCCCATCTGATTTCAACTGCTTTAGGAACTTACTGAAACTTTATAGAGGCTTTAGGGTTAGGCTCCCAAACAAAACATTGTTCAAGAAGTAGATTGTCAACCTATACAGCTTGTTCCTCTAGTATATTGGAGTTTGTTCTTTTAGTTTCGGTTGCTTTTGCTAAAATTAGCGTTGTAGAAACATAAGAATTATCACTGGGTTTCCGTAACCTCATTTAAGACAACAGCTTTTGCGGTGGAGAACGACATGACCGAACAGGCCACTGCAACGAAGATGACAATGTCCACGTGGATGGATAAGCTTGCCTCGTTTTGGAGATCTAGTCGTTTTTGCAAAGTCACAAATCGTTTCATGTTGTTTCTTTATCGATTCTTCTCGTTTGTATTCATTTCTTGTTATTTCTTGTTGTTTCCTGTTATAATAAACGCGTTGCGAACGCCCTGTTTCATCGACGCCCCACTTGTTCACTTGACGCTCTGGAACCCAGGGTAGACACTTACCATCCCCAATTTCCCCCAGAAACGATAATCTGTGTTCTTCTGAGAAACGTCGATTTCTCTATCCTAAACGGTATAGTATTTTGTTAAACTTGGTCTGGGAGATGCTTTTTTAGCGATTTAGAAGGTATGATTTCAAAAATTTCCTTCCACGTCGGGCCCAACCACGGTAGGTCCTCCTACGTCACTAAACGTGATTCTCAGACACCCGGGTTTAATTTCTTCAAGCTGTCTCTGAAAAATGCTATCAACTCAACTATAAAAAAGTCAACGTGCTAAGAAATATCTGTAAATACCTTCTATAGAGCTGAAAAACCTTTTTTTTGTTTATCAAGTCGTTTGCCTCTCAAACTGTCTCCATAACACATACCATAAATTGCTTGGTGGTGCTATGACCCACTGCACACTTTATATTCATTCGCTCTGCTGACGTTTCACTTTATACTTTCGCAAATGCTGTGTTAAAGCTGCTTAGAACATCTTTTGCTGGTGAATGTGCTCATGGGCGAAAGGTAACATTTATTAGCATTGCATTTTAAATAATTTTTACAATATTTTGTGTCCACTTTGGTGTGGTGGTTGAGGTGTAGGACCCACAATCCAAGAGTTATGGGTTCAAGTCTGCACTCCTCACTCCTGAGGGCAACACCTTTGGGAAGGTGTTAACACAAGTTGTGCCTTTATTTCGTCACCTATACACTACAAATCGGAAATATGATCTATAGTGTAGGAGATAAGCAGAATAAATGCGCAAATCGTGATAAAAGCATGAAAATTTGTACAGACATACAAGTTGACATGCTGAAAAATATGGAATTGGGAAACAATCTGAGTAGTGCACTTAAGAGCTATTTCTAAAACGATTCATTGTTCCCAGACCCTTGAAATTGTCATCTCTTTAACTTTGTTGAAAATGAAATCAATGACAAGAAAATTTGTATAACTACTAATGATAACACGGAAATGTGATTTAGATTCACACCCATCGTCAAAATGCTTCCGAATTGCTATTTTTAGACAATGTACTCGTTCTCAGACCTCTTACGCGCTTATCTCTACAACTCCGCTAGAAATAAAATCAATAGCAAGCAATTTGATTTAGATACTAATTATAGCACACTTAAAAGATTTGGATCGTCACACATCTTCAAAATGCCCCTAAATGCTATTTTTAGAATGCTTAATTGTTCCCAGACTCCTAAATTGATTCATCTAGTATGGTTGTCAAATATTCAGCTTTCAATCAAAATTGGCCTACACGTTTATTGATTGGCCAATTTTGATTTATATTTCAAAAATGTATATTGTTACACACATTACACACATAAGGACTGACCCCGGAAACAAAACTTTGTTACTCGGTCTTTGCATCTCTATGTGAATATTTGACAACCACCTGTTTCATTTCATGAAGTTTGAACAGGAAAACAGGTCCAAGCTATAGAAACGATTATCCTTCAGGGTTTTCAAACCAGGGACAGATTTAAGTAACAATGATTGGGAGGGGTGTTAGACACTAATTTTGGTGCCACACCCTCCAGGTCTCTGATAAATGATGGGAACGCCTGTTTTTAAAATTTGGTTTTTAAATTTAAGGCAAAGACGATAAGAAGCAGTGGCGTAGCCGGGGTTGGAAGATTGGTTGGGCAAAGAGGTGGAAAATTTTGCTGACCAGAACTCTAAGAATTTGGGAAAACACCGATTTTGAAATGTGTTTGGAAAAGCTATGGCACCCCCTACATCCCCGACTGAAATGCATAAGGTTACCGAAATGCATATGACACGGGCGAAGTGTATTTGAATGTGGAGGGGCCAAAAAGTCTTGAAAGGGCTTAGGAAAGGCCTTTTAGGATTATGGTGTCATAGGGATGGCCAGAAACTGTATCTAAAATGAATTTCACTGAAGGTGTCGCATGGTCGCGTCTATTGATGTGATGTTGACTTGAAATAGAGAAGTTTTGCAAAGTTTTAGAATAACCACTATCATATAGCTCGTAATGAAACCTTTTTTTAGATTTTAAAAGTACCCGGAATAAGATGGAGGAAAAAAATAAACGAAACACGGATTAATAAAAAACATTAAAGTTGAAATATCAACAGAAGAACTATCAACTCAAAATGAAAAGCAAACTCTGAATTTTTCTTGATGAAACTTTTTAAGAACAAATCTGCCCATACTTTATTTCTCATATCCTCAAAAAAGTACTCTCCAGCTGTTTCTTTCCCTTCAACAGCTGATTTCACCCTTTTTGTTATGTTTCTGAGAAAGTTTTCGCTAGCAAATAGACCTTGTGTGCCAAGTTTAGGCGATGTAAAAAACGAAACTCCGTCAATTTGTGCTGGCACCAAGTTATTATGGACTAGGTTTCTCGATCTATTTGCTAAGCCAAGCTGTTACTCATTGTAAAACTTAGACAATGACCGATTTCTTCGATCTAGTTCCCATTTTCAATTTTATGTATGTTATCTATGGCCAAGACATAGCAAACCAAGGACAAATTTAAGAGAACACAAGTTACTTACAGAATCATATACAACATTTATTTCGACTTTTGCTTAAAATTTTTCTTTAGTTC